TGGAAAGCTTTTTGTAATTCTTTGGGTGCCTCGTCTAGCCTCACGTCTGGTTATCATCCCCAGTCTAACGGCCAATCGGAGAGATGCAACCAAGAGATCGAGTCTACCCTCCGGTGCATCATTCAGGAGAACCCATCTGCATGGTCTCAACACCTGGGCTTGGTAGAGAATGCCCACAACACACATACCTCTTCTGCTACTGGGTTATCTCCATTTGAGGCCTCCCTGGGTTATGCACCCCTCTCTTCCCCAGCCAGGAAGTTGAGGTTGCTGTACCATTGGTACAGCACCATTTCAGACGCTGTAGACGCATCTGGCGTCAAACTAAGGCAGCATTACTTCGCACTGTGGCTACAAATAAGAGGATGAAAGATCGCCACCGTTCCAAGGCTCCATCCTACTCAGTCGGACAAAAGGTATGGTTGTCCACCAGAGACATTACTTTAAAGGATTATCTCAAGAAGTTGGCTCCCCGGTTCATTGGACCTTTTCCTATTGTCAGAATCATTGATCCTTCTGCTGTCAGATTGAGTCTTCCTGATTCTATGCACATCCATCCAACCTTCCATGTTTCGCAGATCAAACCTGTTCTAGAGAGCCCTCTGTGCTCTCCTGCCAACCTCACTCCTCCCCCCGTCTCATTGATAATCATCCTGCATTCTCGGTACGCCGTATCCTAGACGTACGACGCAGGGGTAGGGGGTTCCAGTACTTAGTAGACAGGGAGGGATATGGACCGTAAGAACGGTCCAGGATCCCCAGATCCTTTATCCTGGACCCCAGCCTCATCACCAGTTTTTTTAGAGATCACCCTGAAAAGCGCCAGCGATCGCCAGGAGGCGATTCTTGAGAGGGGGGTTCTGTAGGGTTTTGTCATTTTCCTTCCACCAGGTTCCTGAAGGCAGGGGCGGTGCTGATGAGCAGCCACAACTGAGACCTTTTTCCCTAATTGGTGCCAGGACTACTTAAGGCTCCAGTTGAGCTCCAGTCAGTGCTAGAGCATTGTTCTACCTGCCGGTACATATGCCTCCAGCCCTGTATAGTGTTCAAAGATTGAGAAGACTTACCTTGTTTTGTGTCCACATTTTCAGAGTCTTGATGTCCTGGATCCGGTCCTGTTTTTCGAAGTATTGAAGAAGACCCTGAGGATAAACTTACCTGTGTTTCCTGGTGCTCAGCTGCCTGCACACGCCTTCCACCATTTGCCTTTGCAGTCTGCTTGGTCATCATCCTGGAAGGAGAAAAACCCTCAGCCTGTCCAACAGCCATACTAACTACTTTCACTGTAAGCTTCTCAAAGACCTTGAATATTCAGTTATTGGATCATCTCCTCGTCATAAAGTAATCCTCCTCCTCTGTCTTCACAGACGCAGATCCTGTTTTGTAAATAGTTTATTTTTCCTCTCACTGTAAAATAAACATTTTTCTATTACGTTTGAGTTTGGTTCTGTTTTCCTCTCAGTCTTTTCACTTGGGTAACTCCTCATTACAACAATAAGAGGGCCGCGCTAATCATTTACAGCTGCAGCTTTGTGCACTCCGCCCATCTTCGGACGACTGTACGTACATATTCGCGTTGTATCTCGGTGCAATGCCAATAAAGTTTATTCTGATTCTGATTCAGAAGGAGATGTATGAAGGCAGCAGACCAAGAAGTGATTTAAAGGTGAAAATGTACCAGTTAGAGAGTCTGCGTGATGTTAATGATGTCCAGTTAACCAGTGAATAATGTCTAACAAAGTCTAACAATGTCTTAAGATGCTTGACTCTGTCTACCACTCTTCTCTGAGGTTCATTACAAACTGCAAAATGTCAACACACCATTGTGATTTGTACTCACGGGTGGGATGGCCTCGTCTGGTTGCCAGAAGGAACTCTCATTGGTTAACTTTTATTCACAAGGCACTGTTTGGACTCCTGCCGGCCTATATTTGTACTGCAATTGCACTGAGAAATGTTGACTCTTATATGTTTTGCTCACATGATTTGCTCATTCTTTATGTCCCTTTTGCTTGGAATGAAATGGGTAAGAAGGCTTTCGTTCACGCTGCTCCCTCTTCTTGGAACTTGCAACAAGAAACTCTGAGATTGATTAAATTCATCTCATTCAGTGTTTTACATCCAAACTAAAAGTTATTGAGGCCAATTCAATGACGTATACCTGTTTTAATAGCTAGCTTGTTTTATAGTACCTGTTTTGTATAGCTTGACATTTTCTTTTAATTGTGTAATTTTTTGTGTCATATTTGTTGCTGCCTCTTGGCCAGGTCTCCCTTGAAAAAGAGGTTTTTAATCTCAATGTTTTTTTTTATCTTGGTAAAATAAAGGTTAAATAATAATAAAATAATGGCCATGGATTCCTCTCCTTTGCCTCACCAAAGATGGATTCTTCTGCCCATCGGATATCTGGACCTTGCACTTCCTTAGGTAGAGAACTTTTCTGATAGGTTTTCTAAGAATGTGAATGTTCCTGTAAAGTGTCCTGAGACAACTTTGTTGAGATTTGGTACTATCTAAATACACTGAATTGAATTTAAATTGATTATTTTAAATAAACAATCCAGGCTGCTCATGCACCATGGATTGTTTAAACTATTACAGTATTTAAATTTAAATTGTTTATTTACACAGAAGGAGGGAGACTGGGAGTGACACAGGTGATGATCATGAGTGTCACTGCAGGGGAGAAGTGGGTGTGGCAGAGAGCACATGGCAGGTGGCAGAGAGCAACGATCATGACAATGCTGTGCTCTTTTAGAGCGTTTAGAGTTTAGAACATTGCAAGCGTGTGGGAAGAGTTTATAAAGCCTTTATATATATATATATATATATATATATGTAGTATGAACATATGCTGTCATATATTCATAAATTAAACGGATTCTTTCATTTTTCTGGACTGTATAATGATGTGCATCTGAATTTAATAAAATGTGGACGGAAACGTTAATTATCTTTGACTCACCAACGACAGTGGGTCATTTATTAACAGAATCAAGTTTAACACATCACACATTTACATTAATTGGCAAAAATTGAAAATAACGACAGCTTATTAATCAGTTTTACAGGGAGTAAACAATACGGCGATTGTTTTCTCACTTTGCTTCCAGCTTCACACAGACATTAACCACACGGCGGTGGTTGAAAAACTTTGCTTCAGACATTTCTAAAAATATCTGGAATGATTTTAGCAGATAGAAGAATTTTAAAGATGGGAAATGAAGTTTAAGTATGAGAGAGATGGGGAGGGAATTTGTCTGTTATAACCAGAAATGGCACGCTCCTTCTAGACCAGCTTTACCCAACGGTACGCTTTGGTTGAGATCGACTCTTTTACCTTTGCAGATGATAGTTTCAGCGTTGGTGTAGAGCTCTCCTTTCAACTCTTTCAGCGTCTCCGTAAGAACAGCTAAACCTCGGGAGTCGTGAGATCATCCAGAACAGACATTTCATAATTCCCAGATCTTCTCTCGTTCAGCTTGATTTTTCTTCCATCAGCATCCTGAATTCCAGCCTTCATGAACTCTGGAACTGCTGTTAACTAGGAAGTGCTGCACCTTTTAAAAAGGGTCACTTCCGGTTCATTTGAGGACTTTCTGATTGGTCGATGGACCAAACAGAGGTGTGTTTTGTGATGTAAGGTGTTATGAAAAGTCAAGGAAAAAGATTAAGATTGTTTAAGAACAGACAGAAGATATTATGAAGAACTTCAGACTTCGTGGAGTCAATTCTCTAGTATCTTGCTGTAAAAGTTAAACATGACATTTCTTTTTCAGTAAACTTGCAGTTGACCGAAACTTGAACTTTGACCAACTTACACACTTGCTCATTGAAGACAGAAAATCAGACAATGCATCATTAACCAGATTTCTTCTTTGAATGAGGATTAAAAATCGTTATTACTGTTTCACAGTTGATTTAAAAATGATTAGTTCACTGCAGCATCTAAAATGGTTTGAACTGAAAACACTTTGATTATCAAACATGTGTAAAATAGTAATGATAATAGAAAAGTAGTCTTCTTTCACTTGATTAATTCAAGAAAGAAAGTCTCAGGATGGGTCAACCTGTATTTCTGGATTCAAATCAATGAAATGACAGTTTCTGTCCCATAAGGTGCCTAAGGTCAAGGTTTTGACATCAGGCCTAGTTCACTACATATATATATATATATATATATATATATACTAAAATAAATATAATATCCCTACTTTGCAGTTTTTCACTAATTGTTGGGGTGTCTGGAACATAACCCCTGCAATAAACAAGGGGCTACTGCATCACTGTTGTCATCTTCAAGTTATTTCAGTGACCTGTGTTTTTTTTTTTTTTTTTCTAATGAAAGGGGACAAACAAAAAACGTGCATGTGTAGGGTGTCCTGTAGGATGCATATTCCAGGGGAACATGCACCCTACAGGACAATCCATTGTTCCACTAAATGAGCAAAGGTATGAAAGCTTCACAGCAGCTGTCCCACAGCCCTAGCTCCTCTCATCTGTGTGTAGTTGTTTACCAGGTGTTAAACCAGGAGGCCTGCATAGAATCTGTCTCACTGGAAAACTTGTTATTCCTCTGTGAAGATACACAATGTGCCAGAACATCACAAAGCTTCTTTGAGGAGTTGAAAGGGGACAAGGTGTGGCTGTTCCTGGACTGTTGAAATGAACAGAACCTGTCTGCTTTAACTCTGATCCCATAACAAGTGTTCTACTCAAACTATGGCCAATGTTTACAGAACCAACAGGAATACACACTTTTTATTTGTGTGAGCAAATTAAAGGTTTTAGATCTTTCTCAGGTTGTGAGGCTGCCCAGCTGGGTTGAGGCCAACAGTTATGGCTAATGTTTTCATATTTTCATGCTCTGGAACTGTGTAGAGCTCTGAGTAAAGAACTTAAAGTTTCCTGTTGGACAGAATCTGTTTCATACATGAACAGCTGATGAGACCATTAAAAGATCTATGCAGTTATAAGAATCAGAAATTGTGTTGCTTCACATGAGCCATAAAGTCTGCTGCTGGTTCTGATGGATCCAGTGCACCATGTTTTTACCTCTTGTCTGAAGGCCTTCCTGTAGCCCGTCATGGGTGTTGGGGCGAAGGCTCGTCCAGGCATGCAGCTCACCACCACGGGCATCCCATCAGCACAGGTCTCATTGGACTTCTCCGGTATGGTCTGACCCAGTTTACAGCTGGACAGATGGGCTTCAGTACCAGTGCAGTTGACAGAAAAGTCCCAGTACGTTGGTGTCCTCCTGCGAGCAAACATCCTGGGCAGATGAGGAAGAAAAGAAAAAAAATGACCATCAGGGGTTGACTCAGAGCCAGCGCACGGGCCTGTAGTGGCCTACAATCCTAAGAAGATTCACATTCTGTTCAGTCAGAGACGTGACTGTATGTCAACCCCCTCTGCCAATCTACTCTCCTTCCTGAGGAGCTAGATTGTAAGGCACGTTTGGGATACATCAAAGAAAAGTTCTTGTACTTTCTGCAAGTTTATCAGTTCGTTTCCTGCCAGACGCAGAAAACACCTTGTGGAATCTACATTCAAAGAAGAACAGAACTTTGTCATACACCCCACGCACTAAAAGGTGTTGGTTTCCATGACAACATAAGCTAAGTTTACATGGACATAAGTAATCGGATTAAACAGCCATTCGGAATAAAACTGTGTCATGTAAGCACCCCGTTTGAGTTGATTTTTGTTTATTCAGCGCGATCCAAAATAATTTGTGATCAGAACGAAACAGGTGGTTTATGCCGATTCATAACCCGAACGATGTCCATGTAAACACGTAATCTGCTCATTTTTTCCGATCGTGAAAAACTGACCTGACTGCGCATGTGTGACCTATGTCATTTCCGCCTGGCTAATGCTAATAATATTAGCGTGTCGGGGAAGTAAAACCGGTCGGTGAGCGACACAATATTTCTACTAGAAACTTTGAAAGAGCTCAAAATGATCTGTATTACCTGTAGCTCAGTCAGGGAGTGTGACGTCTCCACAGTCATTAAAACCTGGCATGGGTCCATTTTGGGCACTCAGGTTTGTTTATGTTCATCCCGGAAGTAAACCGGAAGTAGAACTTCTTCTTCTGTGTTTTTTTTAAGGCGAGTTTACCACTCTGAGCCTGTCAGTACTTCTGTTCAAAACAAAGCCCGCTGCAAGTAAACGCTCGTCATGAATGGATTGTGCCCATGTAAACGATACATTTGAATTATTTAATCTGAAAACATTTCAATCCGGTCAAAGAATTTTGCACATGTAAACATAGCTACGACATGGTATGGTAATTCAAACAAAGCCTCTGAAAGAATGCCTTTCACCCATTACTGTGTGGAAAACCCACAACTGGTCAGATCTTACAGCTAAAGGAAAATAAGTATTACAGAAAAAAAAACTTATGAATGTTAACTTCTTTTCCTAATCTTCTGTTATTTGTTAAAAAGCTAAAACAAGCTGATTTCTTATTAGCTAAATAGAAAAACAAATAATTTGTGTTTTCCATTTCCTCAGTTTTAAAACAACTTCCCAAATAAAACATCTACTAAATTGTTACAAAGTTGTGCTAATGTTAAATAAGTAAAAAAAAAAAAAAGTGAGGGGGATTACAGCATGGTAAAAACCCACCATTATTTTAATCAAGGTTGGTCCACATTTATTACTTTAACTTCTGACCTCTACTTTCCTATATCTATACAGGCCTAATGTTTGGAACAATTTATCAGTAAGTTCATTTACTGAAAACATCCCAAAATGAAAGTATTACAACTTTAAAGTCCAAATGTCAGTGTTATAATCTTTTAGTTCATTATTTGATCAGGTTGCAGATTACTTCTGAATCAGAATAAGAATAAGCTTTATTGTCATTGCACCAAGATACAACGAGAACATGTACATACAGCCATCCGAAAAATGGACGGAGTGCACAAAGCTGCTGCTACTTAGCATGGCCCTCTTATTCTTATTCAGAATAATATTTTACTTAGATGAGAAAAGGAAAGAAAACATGAGGAGAGAAGGTATGAAAAAAGATTTCTCACACCTTGTCCTAGACAGGGCACGGTTTGAGGCATCAAAAAACCTACAACAGCAAAGCAACATAAATAGACATAATACATATAGGCTGGTGAAGGCATTGAATTTCAAGGGAAGGTCGTAGCATAGTCCAGAGCCCCCCTCAGCCATTGTCCAGATAAGAGTTGTTAGTTATCATCAGCTCGGCTGAGGTTCCGTTACATGTCCACGGCCTTGGGGAAGGGAGGGGTGAGGAGACAGACAAGGCTGCTTTGTTTTTCCCAAACATGCCAGGAGGGATTGAGATAAGTCCACTGTCAAGGCCACAGTTTGGGTCAGACAGAACTCGTAAATTGCCGTTTCTGCCTTTTAAAGTCTTGCTGGTATATTTCTCTGATAGTGACACCAAACAGCCGAATTGATTCCTTATGCCGAAAGACAAGCTTACGGCTTCTCCAAGATTATTCCCACTGTTCATGGGTGCTGCCAGAAAGTTCACAGTCCTGATAACAGCCTGCTCCAGCTCTCTGACGCAGCTCCACATAATTCAGTCTGAGTGCTGCCAAGCTTCGACACATTCACACTAATTTGTAGACAATCCAGATTTCACCAACCCAAACAGCAAAATCCAGTTGTCATCATGAATCCAATTTGTTTCTGTCAAGGTAAGAGGGTCCTCCTTACCCTGACTTCCTGTCAGGAGAAGTTGATCAATTTTGTTGAGAGACCAGCTGATCAAATTCCTTTGAATTAGGAAGGTATGCAGAAAAAAAAGAGGCTCATTAAAGGGTTCACAAGACAAAAGAGAGCAAAGCAGGGAAGCGGGGGGACGGAGCAGAAGATTGCACGTCTGTCTTCACTGGAGCACAGAGAAAAAAAAAGAAAAAACTGGTGACAGAGTGAATGTTAAGAGAAATGAAATGTTGGAGCTCACCATCCTGATCACTTCACCACTTGCTCTTGCCGAAATTGGATGCTTCCCCCTCCCTCTCCGCTTTGCTTTACTGCTCTGTCTGTCTGTGAAACTGCTTCTGAGACTCTCTTGCATATCTTCCGAACCATAATTATGGACTTGTTTTGATCAGTTGGTCCCTCAACTCAATTTACAACATCTTTTCGAAGAGAAGACTGTCATGCTTTTGCCCCTCACAGCCTGTCATTTTTGTGTTTTTTCCTGCCAAGCTCTGCCTGTTCCTGTCACTCACTCTCACCCAACAATCAAGCTCATGCTCTACACCTGTTCTCTACCCTACTTAAACTCCCTGCATTCACTCAGTCAGTGCCATATTCTCGAACCTTTCAAGCAGTAGAAATCCAGCATACCCGATCTTGTCTCTTGCCATGACTCCTTGCCTGTTTTTGACTCCTCGACTTGCCTGAACACTCTTGGATTTTGTCTGCCTATCAGCCCATGGTTTCTGACTCTGTGCCTTCCCCTTTTGACCACGTCTTTTGGATCACGACTCGGCCTTGTTCTCGCCTCTCCTCTTCTATGGTTTTTGACCCCTGCAATGACTGACAGACCACGATTCTGGATTTCCTTATTCTGGACCTCAAGTCCTTTAATCTGCTCCACTGCAGCAACCTGCTCTTCTGGAGGGACATCACCAACTTCAGTGTGACTACAGACTCTGCTGCAACATCAAGACAGAAGGTTAGTGCAGACAGTAACATTCACCTGCACATCCAGAACTTAGTCAAAGCCACTAACTCTTCTGTCTTGACAGATTGGACCCGGCCCAGGACCGAGACCTCCACCAGAGTTTTTCCTATTCACAATAAAATTGTTAAACTGCTCTTGGGCTTGTTGTTGTTGCTGATCCAAAACCCAGATCTTATCAGAAGACAAGCTTTAGGCAAGCCGATTTGCCTTGTTGGCACGCACACAGCTGGATATCTCATCGACTTGGAAGACTTGATGATGTATCTATCTCTGCTGCCATTTGTGGATTTTAAGGATGCATATTTAATTGGATTTCCGATAACTGGTTCCTGCTTTTTGGATTCGGCTGGTTGCTGGTTTTATCAATCATTCAAGGAAGTCGTCTGCAGCAAATTTGGACCTGATCACGCTGCTTGCCTTTATGATGGCTTGGTTCATGTCTCGAGTACCCCGACTCAAATGCTTTGGGCTGAATGGATCAGATGTTGGGGATTTTACTCAGTCACGTTCCATCGGTGTGGCCATGAAATTTGGACAATTCAGAACCGAGTCGACCAACACAGACTCAAGGTAGATATCATTAAGTTCTGCCTGTCCCCAAAACAACTGTGTGTTTATCTGAATTTGGCTCCCTTGGCTGGCCTTGAAGGTCATCTTATCTGAATTTACCTGGAGAACATGTGATCTGATGCTCACCACCCCCCTCCCTGAGGAATTTCCAACTGATAACCATATGAATCCAGCTGAATAAACTTGTGTCATCATTTCAGGACTCTTGGATTCTCATATACATTATTCTTGGCCATTCCTCGACATACCTCGAGAATGTTTATGGACCTCACCGGAGGACATTTACTGATTATGCCATCCTTATCAGAACTCTTACATTGCCCTGGAGAGCATCTATGAACATGCTGACTGCTCTTGCCTCCTCCCCTCTGCAGAATGTCTATGTCAATATGTGCTTGTTTGTGTGAGGTGTTTTTTTAATATTAGGTTTTTTTTTCTCAGGCAGGAAAAAAAAGTCTGATAGGAATTTTTTTGCCTCCAACTCCTACATGTGTCCAGTTTACCACTTTTATTGTCTGTCCAAACAGGTCTCACTTGTAAATGAGTCTTTGAGGCTGAATGTGATTTATCTGTTAAAATAAAGGTTGAATGCATGAATGAATGAATGAATGAATGAATGAATGAATGAATGAATGAATGAATGAATGAATGAATGAATGAATGAATGATTTCATTAAAGAGTTGTTCTAGAGCAGGTGTGCCCAATATGTCCATGGCGATCTACCAGTCGATCACAATGGGTAGATCACATGGCATTAAAAAATAGACGTCAGCCTTTCATCCATCTTCACTATGAAATTTGTGATTTTACTGACAAACAGGGCAGCCAGTCTGAAGCCCCGTTTACACGACGTGAAACGTTCGGCCGTTCATTTATACAACAACCCTCATTCTGAAACCAGTTTCTAAATCCAGGTCTCAGAGTGGAAATTTTGGGGAGAACCCCCCACAGAGGTGTGAAATGTACAATGTGTGAAGTGGCACATGCGCACTACAGGCAGCTGTAGTCAAAAGTTTTT